TGACGATTTAAAGTTGAAATTCATCTATCTGATACACTTAACAAGATTCTTTAGTAATAATCTTTGTTCAGATATTTTTCTTCTCGGTTAACTATAATAATTATTAAAAGTTTGTACTTCATATTTAAAGATAATAACTATTTATTTGTAAATCTATACAAAATGTAGAACAATTAGATGTTATATATTCTCTGTTTTCATTGTATGTGATATATGAAATAAAATTCGCATTCGCTTTGCTAATCTCAATATTTTTTAGTCGATTCCTGTTACTAATAAAGTTGATTACTAAGAAATAATTCTTATATCTTGAAAAGAAATTTATAAATTCAAAATTCAAAAGGTTTGAGCTTCTATGATAAAAATTATAACGTCTTAGAAAGTTGAAACAACATTTCAATCAACTATGTTATATCTGATTATTAAGAAATAAAATAATTGTAACAAGAAAACTGGAGTTTATTCATTCTAAAATATCTCGGGATTAAGCTTATGATACTTAAAATGTCTTACTTTTATTACAATAATTTGTATCCTGCATTGATTTTATTATTCATCTTACTCGGATATAGATAACACTAAAATGTTATAATGATCTTACTTGCGATTTCTCACGTGAAAGATAGAAGTATAAAATACTCTATATTCAATGACGAAGAATATTAAAATATTTTTTTTATAGAATTGTTCGATTTCAATGCTTGTTTACCAAAGCTGTTATCGCAGTTTTTACCCTATCAGCAAATTGATCACAAATACTAGTATCTTCAACGGTTTTGTTAAAACCACATCCCGGCATTGTACGTGGTTGGCTCATCGATATATAATGAGCAAGTGTTATGTGATTTTCTAAAGGTTGTTCTTTAGAAAGTCCAACTATTCGTGCTACATTCTTCATCGTTTTAATTTTTATTGAATCTCACAAAAGCGAGAAAAGGAAAGTATTTTATGATTTGGATTGAATTAAAATAAAAAATTATTTAAAAAGAAGATTTTGCTTTTGATAAAGATCTATTTGAATATTTTTAATTTGATAAAAATAATCAAATGTTTTCCTTTTTTCGATTTGATGAAATTTGAGAATCCATCAAAATTAAAAACAGAAAAGAAGTATTTAAGAAAATTTAATAATAACAATGGAATTGAAATGAACTTTGTCGAACAAATCAAATGTTGAAAAGATTGTTTCTATTAAACTAATAAATTTTATTTTTATCGATTTTGAAAATATTTTTAATAAAAATGATTTGTCAAAATGAAAACAAATTTTATTAAAAAGGGAATATGACATAATGTAATTTCCCTCTAGAAAATAATAGAGAGTACTGTATTTTTGTAGACAATTGAAATATAACAATAAATTTGAATGGATACCATTTCACTGGTGTGGATGTAGATATCAGGATGAGGGAGTTAGATAAAGAGAATACTGTCACCCACACTCACACCCTAATTTTGGAGAACGGGTGTGGGTGTTCATGTATTCTGCACCCACATCTACCCACACTGCATAAATACATTTCTTTTCTCTCACCGTTACTTTAGACAGTCTGTTGAGTGGCTATTCTTTTTCTTACTCGAGAGAGGGAAACTCTACCTTATTCAGACACGATAACTAAATATCGTAAAGTTCTTTTTCTACAATGCATGTTTTTTTATATGCAGTGTTTATTTTACCCGTGGGTATAACTACCCATTTGTGTCTCAATAAAATTAGAGTTTCTCTGTACGTGCGCGCATTTAAAACAATTCTTTTCTTGCTTAAAGTCTTTTTTCGTTTTCACAAAATAAAATTCTTAGCAGTACAATTTATTATTTGTTTTTTATACGTTCGAGGTTATTTCTATACATTTGAAGATCAGGATGATTCGAAGGTAATGATCGTTCAGCAATCTGTATAGCATGTTCATAAAATGTACGGGCTTTTGAGCAATTACCCATTTTGGCATGCACTAAACCAATGTTGTTGCAGGACTCAGCCAAATCAGAATGATTGGGAGGAAGTGATTGTTGCCGAATTTCAAGGGCTTTTTCGTGAAATGAGTGCGCTTCAGGATAATTACCCATTTTGGCATATACTAAGCCGATGTTGTTGTAAGACTCAGCCAAGTCGGGATGACTGGGAGGAAGTGATTGTTGTCGAATTCCAAGAGCTTTCTGATGATATGAAAGTGCTTCTGGATAATTACTCATGCTCTCATGCACTTCGCCAATGTTATTGTAGGAATTAGCCAAATCAGGATGATTGGAAGGAAGTGATTGTTGTATAATTTCAAGAGTTTTCTCATGATAAGAAAGTGCTTTCGGATAATCACCCATCTTGGCATGCGCTATACCAATGTTGTTATAGGAACACGCCAACTTAGGATGATTGGAAGGAAGTGATTGTTGTATGATTTCAAGAGTTTTTTCATGATAAGAAAGTGCTTTTGGATAATTGCCCATGCTGAAATACACATTACCAATGTTGTTGTAGGACATGGCCATATCAGGATGATTGGAAGGAAGTGATTGTTGTCGAATTTCAAGGGCTTTTTCATGAGATGATAGTGCTTCTGGATAATTACCCATCTTGTGATGGGCGTTACCAATATTGTTGTAGGAATGAGCCAAATCGGGATAGTTAGGAGTAAGTGATTGTTGCCGAATTTCAAGGGCTTTTTCATGAGATAAAAGTGCTATCGAATAATTACCCATGCTATGATGCACATTACCAATGTCGTTGTAGGAATGAGCAAACTCAGGATGATTGGGGGGAAGTGATTGTTGTATGATTTCAAGAGCTTTTTCATGAGATGAAAGTGCTTTCGGATAATTACCCATGTAGTTATGCATTAAGCCGATGTTGTTGTAGGAAGTAGCCAAATTTGGGCGGTTGGAAGCAAGTGATTTTTGTCGAATTTCAAGTGATTTTTCATGAGATAAAAGTGCTTTTGAATAATTACCCATTTCAGCATGTACTAAACCAATGTTGTTGTAGGAAAAAGCCAACTCAGGATGATTGGGAGGAAGTGATTGTTGTTGAATTTCAAGAGCTTTCTGATGATATGAAAGTGCTTCTGGATAATCACCCATCTTACTATGCGCATTACCAATGTTGTTACAGGACTCAGCCAGATCAGGATGATTAGGAGCAAGTGATTGTTGTTGAATTTCAAGAGCTTTTTCATAATATGAGAGTGCTTTTGGATAATCACTCATATTGGCATGCACTAAACCAATGCTGTTGGAGGAAGAAGCCCAATCAGGATGATTGGGACTAAGAGTTGTTTGCCTTATAGTGAGCGATTTTTCATAGAATGTAATGGCCTCTTGATATTGTCCTTGCGCAGTTTTGATCAAACCAAGTTGATGATAAATAGCTGCCTTATTTTTATCATCCGTTCTTTGATCTAGTAAAACGTGATATATATCTTCAGCTTTGTCAAATTGATTCATTTTTAATAGTGCTAAACCCAATCTGTACCATCCTTCTTCATCTGGAGAACTCTGTTGTCGAATGTAATCAGTAAGTTTGTTTAATTCTGGATCGTTTGCAGCAGTAAGTATCAAATTAACTTCATATAAATGATTATTTCCATCCAGCTGTTTAATATCTTGTATACGAAAAACGCTATGCATCGAAAACAAGACTTCCTCTTCTCCTGGAAAGCCACTAATACCAGTAATGGAAGCAAATGGTGTTGTTGATTGAGATGGATCTACTTTCATAACGAAAAGTATTCCAAATAAATCCAAATTGGCCTGACTGCTTTCAGCAAAAGCATAGGAGACCTCACGATTTTTACTAGTAGATAAGAAATTATTGAATGAAACAAGACCTCCTTTATTTTGCGTGATTTCTTCGAAATTTTGTGTAGATAAACCTTGGCCACGGTAAACAGTGAAGGTGCCAGCAGTAGTTGTACCAGCATATTGTTCTTGATGCAGTTGTTCAATATGTCGATGTAAATCACTGATAAAGAAGCCCATACGTGCGATGATATCAGTATCTATCAATCTTAATGCACGATTGAGCATGGGATACAAGAAAACTTGGCAGGTATACCAATAAATTGGTGTTTTGTTATGATATTCACGTTCCAATTGTTTAATTTTTTCGATTTCTTTTGTATTACCAGCAAATACATCTCGACAGTAATCGATGTAATCTTGGATATGGTTTTGTTTGAATGTAATGGTTAATAAGATTTCCTTGATGATTTGGGTGTACATAAAAGAAGGATCTAATTGATCCAACTTTTTATTTGACCCCACAAAACTCATGGGAATGGCATTCTGCTCACATTGGTGAGCAGTTTCCTTAAGTGCTTCACAGATAGGTGTAATATCTGTGAAGACACCCTTTATCTTGGGCCAATCTTTGGTCCATTGTTCATGATGTTTTTCATTGCCACAAAAAATAAAAATCGAATCAACTTGAGACAAATTGTGCACATAAGGCACAAAATGTTGTCCAAGTGATCCAGATATAATCATACATACTTTGTTATCGACGATGGTTTGAATGAATTGAAGGCATTGATCACTATTTCTGTATGTCTTGATGCCGTTAACAGTACGTCGTAATTTTGTGATTTTAATTTGACAATCATCATTTGTTTCGTCAATGTTACTGTCTAACCAGATTAGAAGAACATTTTGCATCTGTTGGATATTGATATGTCGACGGCCTTCTGCATCTTTTGAAACTATAGATACATCTGTTGATGATTTTCCTTTGTTCATTATTTGCCACGTGAATAGTTTGAATTGAAGTTACTGTGTGAAATTTACTAGTGAAGTAATGATTAAAAACAATTGTTTTTATCGGAGTCTACCTCTTTGCGAAACGTTGTCCTTTTCTTTAACTGTTTATTGATGTTGCTATGAAAAACAGACATCGAAATAGTCCGCGAAAAAGAATGATTTTATTTGTCTTCACAGAGAAAAACATTGTTAAATGATGTTTGTTATTTGAGAATCCGCAAATTGCAAAAAGCTTTTTTTTGTATGATGAAATATTTGATGAATTACACAAGTTCGACAACATGTTTGTTGATCACTAAACAGTAGATATGAAATTTAAAAGATGTTTAAATTAGCTTTCGAGTGAAAGTCTACATGTGATGTTGAAGGTGCGTGTGGGTGTGGGTAGCAGTATTCTCTTTATCTAACTAGGGTTGGTGTGTGAGTGTGTCTCTCATTTAGTTCAACCCTTATCCACACCCTCAAAAAAACCGTTGATACCATAGGTCACATACAATTGATTCAGAAAGGAAATTTTAGACTAATCAAAACAACATTTAAAAACAAGTTCGAAAAATTGCGAAACTAAAAAATATAGGAAAATGCGTATTGTTAATAAATAAGTAACGTTTTATGTTTTTATGTAATCTCATTATAACATCATTAATTCTTCGTACAAGATAAATAGACTGTGAGGTTGTTTGCCAATGGACCAAAAATAACTTTCTTAGTGCGAATATCATTATAATATTCATTATATGCTGGCCCTTCCTTTTTTCCTGCTGTTGTAGATGCAATGTAATTCGATAAGTGATTGTGTTGAAAAACATCAAAAATTGCGCATGTTGTTTGCATAGTTACATTCGATATTTTACAATTATGAGCTATTAGTCTGCACCAAACAAGATCGAGTCCGTAACCTAATCCAACAAAAGGACTCAAAAACTTCCATATGCATTCCCATGTTAACGAGTTACCAATTACAATGGGACCAATCTCGACAAAATCCGTCCATCGACCGATTTTCCCAGCGAAATTTTTGTCCGTACGAGTAATTTCATGAGAAACAACACCATTTAATCGTCCGGGAGCTGATAAATGGATATTTAATTTTGTAGCAACACATTCATATTGTAATGGTTGAAATAATACTTCTACATCATCATCAATAATCCATACATACTTGTATGCTCTCAGTATGGTAGGTGTCAGAAAACGTTTGATGTACCAAAACCTTTTCTGAGCATTAACATATATCCATATGAATAGATCTTTATTAGGATAGGATGACCAATTAGAATCGTCATGTACCATAATAATACGAACGAAATGTTTTTCATCAAATACTTTTAAAATATTTTTTGCTAACCATTTATCACGCGAACTTTCTCGCCAGAATGTTACAACTAAACTTTTATTTACTTTATAACAATTTATTTTTTTATCTAAATTGCAATCTGTTTCACCTTCCAATGACACACTACCATTTGAAAATTGATTTAAATGTAGGGTTTCACTAATACCTAAGATTGTTTCTGTTTTAGACAAAATGTTTGAGTTGTTGGAATCATGACGGAATCCGTACATTATGGAGATCGATATAACTAATACAATACATATAAATATAAGTATTCTTTTATGAGTCACGAAGAGTGTTGTTTGGATACTTTGAGCAGGTTCTATTATTGTATTAATATTTCTTAACATTTTGTCTAGAAAAGAAAACAATTATATACACTTTTATTACTATTTATAATAATAATTTCTGTACATATTTATGCTTTGCCCTTATATTGAAAAATGATTAGCAATCACTGGTGCTCTTTTGAAACATTCAACTATTTCATTTATGATATAATTTTTTTGAACGATATTAACGTGAGCAAATAACACTAGGTTACCGCTAACGTTTTTCTGCTCTTTAATCTACAGATCTTTCTCTTTTTCTTCACTTTTATTATTGTTCCCGTTCAATTACTGAAAAATTAACTCTCTTCAAAGCAACAACTATTAACATGTTTTTTTTCTTCTTTTGCTAAAATCATATAAAAAATTCTATCACAGCATCTCTTACCACAAGTTATTCAATAGAGATAGGAAGCTGACTTATGTGAGAGAGACAAATACACATAAGATAGTCTAAGATTGTCGGAAGTTACTCATCAACTTACGTATGAATGTGAGTAAGAGCTTTAGATAATAGAAAAATCTAACAAACGATGAAAAATATCTCATTAGACAAGCTTAACGCAGAAAGCACAACTTCCTCTTCAAACATTGGTAATATCTGTCATTCAACAGAGATCTGAATTATATTTACTGCTAAGAATTTTTTTTCGTACAATAATATTGACTATATATATAGGGTGTGGGTGCGTACTTGATCAGATCAATCTTTTATCGACACCCACATCCACACCCTGACACCCACGCTTTTTGCAAGCGGATAATCGTTCCATACCGAAGTATTATTACAAAGTAAAGTCATATGAAAATAATAAAGTAAAATATATTAATTTACCTGATGTGTTTCGTAGATTGTTGATCGACAGTAAGTTGTAAATGACTAATTTTTTATCCTTGCTAACGGTATATACAGAGAAAGAGAGAGACTATTTTACCAGTATTAATGACAGATCTATACATATAGGATGAAGAAGAAAAGACATTCACTAGTGAAAAGTAAGCATGACATATATAATATATATAGAAATACATAATTGTTGATAATAAGTTATTTGAAATGTCATCTAAAACAGATAATACATTTATTTTTTAAAAAAAGAACAGTTTAATCATTTTTATTTGTATTATTTAAAAATGAAAACCATGGTGGAAAATAATCATCCGCTCGACAATTAGCATCAATAGGAGTATGATCCGATTTTGAATCAGTTAATATATTACCTAATCGATTATGTAAAAGAAAAGCTCCCCACCATCCAAATGTTCCTGCAGTAAGAATAATATGTTCACATAGAGTCAATGTAGCCAAATCATCAACAACACTAAATGAATCAGGTGTCACAAAAACATTTTTCTTCTGACCAAATATCTTTCGACAATATTTTTTGTCATCTGAAACTAAAACAAATATAACTGAATGATATTTGGCAATAAAATGAGACATTGCATTGAGTATATATTTGTCAGATGAAACACGTCGAGCATGTAGAAAATCTCCTCGTCGAATATGTATGCCTACTGAAGTTGAAATATTTTTATTGATATTTTTGTCGAGAAAATTATTGACACGATCTAGAATTGATTGTTTAAAACGTAGTTGCTCTCTTATTTGTTCCATATGATCGATAAAATATTTATGTACTTGCCAAAATCCTGATAATTCCAGAGAATAACTTTTGTTCGAATATAAAAGATTAGGAATATATGAACAATGATTGTATATTTTTTTAATGGAAGTAAAAGTACTTAATTGTGGTTTTGATAAGCAAATTGGTGAATCAACTTCGAATGCTTTTTGAAGTTCATCGATAATTTTTCGATCTATATACAATTGACATGAATGTCTAAGTGATAAACCATAAGCTGATGCAAACATAAATAAACGATTCCCAAGTCGACCACCACGTTCATGTAAAATAATACGACATTGTTTAGTATCATTAAATAAATTATTATTCTTCCATAATCGTAAATCGTATACAGTTTGTGAATACATATTTAACATATATAAAAACAAAACCATAATAACAATCAAACTAATTACTTTTAAAGTTTGATTTCTATACATTTTCTTTCGTGAGAAATATTTTAATAAAATAATCTAAATAAAATAATAGCATCATTATGATTGTTAAATCAATGGAAATGTCTATGTGTACTCAGACAGATATTATGAATTAATTAGTAAAAAATTACGTTAATAATCTCACATACATTTAATGATTAACATATACAAAATAGTTTAACTTCATAGTAATTTTGCTTTATGAATTCTTTATTATATTCAAAAAAAAAGTGTAGGTTATGCAATACAGTAGCACATGTATAGAAGAAAAAATTTAATACAAATAAAAATCAATCAGCTTACAAACATTTCTACGACTTCTTCTCTTCAGCTTCAAAGAAAGTAACTGAATTTTTGATTCATTACATTTATTGAAAATTGTATTATGTCAACGCTCTTCTTCTTATTTATGAATTATAAAACAACAAATAATATATTTTTTCATAATTAATTGGTATATAAATTGGATAGTTGAAAAACATATCCTGTATTTTAAATACGATAATTAATCTATGCTTCAATTTTCTGTATGCTGTTGCTTATTAACACTTACATTAGACTAAGATATTTCATACATGTAAGACTATATGATATAAATTAATTTTTACTAATTAACTCACTATATCTATCTGGATGTATATAATCACTTTTTACAAATTTGTACTCTCAGTATTTTTTAGTCGATTCCTAGTAGGAATAAAATTCATTATTAAGAATAAATGCTTACATCTTGACGTTTTAGAATGCTATATTACATTAAAAGAGAAAATAAATTTATACGTGAATAGTTTCGAAATACTCGCAACAGATTCATTGATATTCACTAGTAAATCATCGTGAAACTTTATTAGAATTCACAAATGATCAAAGATATAGTGCTTTAGGAAGTTAAGAAGACATTCCAGTATTATTGATTTTATGTATTTTCCAAAAATGACTGGAATCCTTGCAAAAAAAGCTTTTGTAAGAGAATTGAAGAGAATTCGTAATAAGATATCATCTTACATATTCATTTTAAAATGTAGTATATGATATTTAAAACATCTTACTTGAATATACATAATACTAGCATGTTTCAATGATCTTCTTTGGATTTTCTCACGTGAAAGATAAAAATACCGAATAATCTATATTCACTGATAAAAAATGTTTAAATATTTTTATAGAATTGTTCGATTTGAATACTTATTCATCAAAGTTGCTATCGTATCTTTCACTTTATTAACGAATACCACTGTCTTCAACGATTTCGTTCAAATCACATCCCTGCATTGTACGTAGACGACTCGTCAATACATAATGAGCAAGTGTCATGTGCTTTTCTGATGGTTATTTTTTTCGAAAATCCAACTGTTTGATGATGAATTGATAGATATTGAACAAAACGTGGTCGATTCAAATACTTTTCCCGTCCACGTTTATATAGATGACGTGCACTAAAAGTAGATCGTTCGATAATTAAACGATTTGTATCATTTTCTCCTGGAGTATATGCACTAGCGTTTTTATTGCAAAAGAATTAACTCGATAAATTAATTGATCCTATAATTCGTCAACCAAACTTTTCATGTATATAATCAACGATGGTTTTGTAGGGATGTAGTGGTACAATATATTCATCAAGATCGAGCATACCTAACCGTTTGATAGTTTAATGTTGAAAGTATAAAATCAACAGATAACTATCTATAAATGAACAGATAAATGTTGATAATTGTTTCTTTGATAGAATCCAACTATTAGGAAAAAACGAATCAAACAGCTTCTGATTACTTTTTAATTATCTATATCTGTTATACTAACAGCTACAGTAACGAATAATAAAATAAGTTGATTGATTTGTTTCATTTTAAAAACCTGAACACAAAATATTTGAAAGTGATGTCTATACACATGATTCTATAAATAAAAGTCAAAATACAAACATGTAAGAGAAAAGTTACTAACAAGCAAAATAACTAAAGAAAACGACACAGATAATGGTCTTCATACATGCATACATATATATAAATAGTTACTTAAACTAAAGTGTGTCACAGGTGTTTCCAATAATATTTCGTACTTCCTCATCTAACCATAACAAATTTACTCTTCTGTTACTTTATGATCAACGTTTTTTTATGTGATCAAGCTTTTAAAAGAATGAATGCTCTGATGTGGCGTCTTCAGATAAACATTGATTCGAGAGATTTACGAAATAACTTTCTCTTCAGAACGATATTATCTTCTGACGCAAGTTTATTCATACGATATATGAAAAATTTTGCTTTGTCAAATTTTTATGGCTGCCAATAACACAATTATAACTTTTACTTTCGACATAAGTTTACCTTTAACTTATTTGTTAAACTTCTTTGACCATGAATAATACAGTTATGCGTTATAATCACAGAAAAAGTTCATCATTTATTTTATCAACAGATTTGTATGGCTGCTAATAACACATTTATAAATTCTACCTTCTACATAAGTTTAACTTTTACTTTCATAGCTGTCAATACTATAATCATAAATTATGATTTTCATAAAACTTTATCTTTTACTTGTAACTAAAAACTCTCGAGTAGCTTTTCTGAAATTAGATTTATTTTTGACGTCGAATAAAATAGCTATTCACCCAATTAAGTAAAAAAATTGTAGGACAAACAAAAGGAAAGAAGAAAAATTATTTTACATATTAATGAAACAAATAAATAATTAACAGGATTGTATTAAAAATCAGTATCTCAGAAATCAAGTTAGAAAATAATTTCAAAGTTTGATAAATGGTTCAGTTGTCTTCAGCTAACAACCACTATCACATACTTTTTTCTTTAAGAATCATGAACGAACAATACGCTATTCTTATAACTTTTGTGGAAGCTATACAAATATATGCAGAATGTCAGAAGACTCATTTTAGAAAAATATTTGAATACTACTCGTATGGCTTGAGCTGATTTATTTTTATCGACGATATAGACTTGTTCAAAGTATATATCCATAAAGATATGTCGAGAGAGAGATCATTTGTTAAGTATCACTATTGATTTTAACAGAAAAAATTATCTTTCCACAGATAAGAAAAAAAACAACATACTGAACAAAGAATTTCTATAAACATGTCTTTTTCAAAATGAAACTTAAATGCATCTCTACCAATGATAAAAAGCTAATTTGTTTGCCCGAGTCGTAATGAAGATATTCATTTTTCTGTTGAAGTCAATAGTAAAGATAGTCTTCTATCTTTACACTACTGGATAAAGTACCACCACTAATCAATAATTATACTTAACAAATGATCTCTCTAGACATGTCGCTATCATTGATAAAAAAATCAGCTCATTTCCTCGAACGGTAAGGAAAATACTGAAATATTTTTTTTGTTAAATGACTTCTCGGACATTCTGTATATATAAAGTTTTAATAAATCTTTTTCTCACTATCTAATATAGATATATTTGCGTATAATCAATCTGTTCAAAGTTTGCTTCTTGTTAAAATCCCTCACTATGTAATTTTTTCATTAATTAATTAATTGATCATTTGATCACACTTGCCATTTATTTGAACATACTGTTATTTTGTTAAAATAATTATAAGAAAAGATTCTTTTCTTTTTAATATTCTATTAAAATCGATTAAACATCATCTGTGTTCGATCATTATAATAGATAATGGATGTATCAGCTGGACTATTATATAAAAACGAATAAATATGATTGTATGCCTACGATAACACGTCATTTTTAAGAATGATATCAAAGCCGATACATTTCGTTAGTTATAAACAGCGACATTGCACTGATATATTTTGTCTTATTTTATTTATTATTTTTATTGTTATCTATATCTTTATATCGATATTAGCAATTAGTAAAAGTCAACCAATAAGTTTCGTTCATTCAAGTGATTCATTTGGTAATTTATGTGGACAAGATAAATTTGAATTTCAACCATATCAATTTTATTTCGATATAAGTAAATGTTTAACTGATGGTGCTTTTTCATTTATTTGTCCAACAACAAAAATATGTGTTAGTTCATGTCCAACACAATATACACATTATGAATTATTACAAATCACTGAAATGGATGGTATGAAAACAAAAGATCTTGTACGTCAACAATTAATATGTATGTATGATTTTGATCCAATACTTGATAATCGAACAATAACAGAATTAGTTAATGATGGTCTTTGTGCACCATATACATTACCATCTGAACCATTTCTTGGTCGATGTTTACCATCTGTATTAACAAATCTATATGATTATGAAAATAATACTCAATTAAATACAAATATATCTGTTGCACATATTAATACTCATATGTTTGGTATAAATAGTTTATCGGATGTTGGTCGAATTATATTTTCTGATCTTAATCGAATTAAACAAAGTTTAATTCTATTTATATTTATAGCATTTATACTTGTATTAATTTATATGTTAGCTATAAAATTATTAACTGGTTTAATGGTTTTTCTAACAATATTAATATTACTTGTCATATTATTTCTTTCAAGTTCATTTTGTTGGTATTCAATTTATACAGGAAATGATTTAGTTTATGAATATAGTACAGTTGCAAAAATTGTTAATGATTTTATTAAATTACGAACAATTTATTATATATTTGGTTGTATAACAACATTTTTATTTCTTCTTACTTTATTTATTGTTTTAACTTTATTTGATCGTATACGATTAAGTATTATATTATTAGATCATGGTGCGAATGCTGTTTTTTCTGTTTTAAGTACAATATTTTGGATACCATTTACAATTATAGTATTTTGTTTATTAACATCAATTATTATTTATATTGAAATGTGTTTATCAACAGTTGGTAAACCAATATTTCGTACAATTGTTAATAATGAAACAATACCTTGTTTACCAAATATAAATTCAACAGAATGTATATTTCAACAAGAATATGGTTATAATGATTTAGTATTAAATGATACAGATATTGTTACACGTGGTGTTATTGAATTTCTTGTTGATAATAAAACAAATCTTAAATGGTTTAATTTATTTGCTTATTTATGGTTTAGTGCATTTTTATTTGCATTTCAAGAAATTGTTTTAGCGGCAGTTTTCTCAAATTATTATTGGTCAAAAGAAAAATTAACAACATCATTTCCACTTATTTATTCATTTTTTCTTATTATACGATATCATTTAGGTTCAATAGCATTTGGTTCATTACTTATTGCAACATTACGATATATAAAAATAATATTTGATTATATAACAAATAAAATTACAAAAATTCAAAATAATATTATTATTACATTTCTATTTAAATTTATTTCATGTTTTCTATGGTGTTTTGAAAAATTTCTTAAATTTCTTAATAAACATTCTTATGTACTTATTGCAGCACGTGGTTATTCATTTTGTAAAGCAACACGCAAAACATTTGTTTATATGATTAATAATTGTTTACGATTATTGGTACTTGTACATTTAACAGAATGGATATTATTTTGTGGTATAATTGCTATATGTTCTTGTAATACATATTTATTTTATGAATATCTTCAATGGACAGATGAATTTGATCAACTTATACTTCGTTGGACACCTATGGTTATTATAATTATAATAACATATTTTATTGCAAGTCTTTTCTTTAGTGTTTATGATATGGCAATAAAAACATTATTTATATGTTTTCTTGAAGATTTAGATGAAAATGATGGTTCTATTCAACGTCCTTATATGATGAATAATGAACTTTTATCTTTACTACACAAAACAAATACGATTAAAGAAAAAGAAAACAAATAATAACATGAATAGTTTTCAATATGAAAAGAAGAAGCGTCAACTAAAACAGATTTTATTTGTAAATGAATTTTAATCTGTTTTATAATTTATCATATGAAGAATAAATAAACTATAATTTCTTTCAGATTATTTATATTCTACATTGTCTATATCATTAGGTCCAAACAAAAGGAGAAATTCATCTACCATCAATATTACTAACTTGAATATATAGATTCTATTGGTAGAATATTACCTGTGAATCATCACTTTGTCTATATTTCTTTTTTTTATTTCAATAAATAATGTTGAAAAAAATATACAGCTTGGATAAGTATAAATTACAACAATATATTCATTTTTGAAGATTTAGTTTATGTTCAGTTGATTCAACAACATTGTCCATTAATTCATTAAATTGTCGTGCTTCATGGGATTTAACAATTGAATCATGGACAAGTAATAGACAACGAAGTAAATTCGTAAAACATAAAACAGCATCTTGGGCATTATGTTTATAGAGTAAATAACGCCATACTAGTTCTGTATACATATCTTGAACACGAATGATTTTTATGGCATCTGGTAAATTATGAGATACGGTTTCTGATGAGTAGACTGTATAATTTGATACTAAGAAGGCAATAACTGCACAGATAATTTTCATAAATATAATATCTGGATCGAGTTGATCAATTAAACGTTTAGTTGCAGCTACTGCAGCTGGTCGAAAAATAAGTTCAGCAGATTCAGAAAAAGCCGGATAATCGAACAGGTGAGCTTGCCGTAATATATAAGCTCCACCAACACTTGTTGTATATTCTACTGTATCACGAAGTAATGCAGTACGATCACTTGAAGATAATGAAAGAAGATCACGATTCTTTTCAAATACTAATTGAACATTACCCATCATCGATGTAAAGAACTTAGTAACTGATGTATATTTAAAACGAAATTTTGGTGGTAATGTAGTTTGCTCGTTAATAAAATCTTGTACAAGTGAAAATCCACTATATTCATCGAAGCAATGCACTAAATTCGAAAGATGATTCCATTGATCAACGGTTAATGTAGATTGATCTGCTTGTAAGAGATTTAATGTAGGAAGCTAAAAAATAGAAAAACAAAAGTATATTAATGTTCTATTCAATTATTTTTATCTCGATTATTAAAATTAAATTTTTTTAATATCGTTTATCTGTTTGCTGTCGGATTGAACTTATTAAAATGGATGCTCTATTCATGTCAGATAACCAGCAGCTTTATCATGTATACAATCTATCGTCTCATACTGTCTACGAAGCAAATGTTAGAGAGTAGAATAGTTTAAAAAGACATCGTCATATGACTGAGAGCAGAATAAGTTGAAAAGGACATCATTATATGATAGACAGATATTTTTATTCAATAATTTACAGGGCAAACATAAAATATCACAGTTAATAAATGTACCTAAACTAAACAGAATTCTTAAATTATACGATAAATCTTTTCTATTATTTCTTGGACGAATAAATATTAAAACGACTTTTTTTCAAAATAAGTGCATATTATAATTACAAAAAAATGGTATTTACTTTGTTAACTAATCTATTATTTTTCTTATTGTTAGTTTATACAATATTTTAGATATTACATCACATACAGAATTCGAATAAGAATCTTGTAGAAACAATCTTACCACTTCAGGTTGATTTGTTTCAATAGGTTTAGCTGATACTGCTGATGATGTTGAATCAGTTGTTCGTCTTTCTTTTTGTTTTTTCTTAGTTTCATTATTCCAAGAAGATCGAATCATTTCAATATTCATTCCACTTTCAAAACATTTAGCCAGTCGACAATGTGAACATGCTCGACGACTATTAATATTAATTTCACAATGATCACCAAAATTACATTTAGATGGTACCTAAATAAATAAATTACAAAAAATAGAGTTTTGTTTTTTTCAAACTAACCGATCGACTTTCTGCATTTCGTCTAAAGAATACTTTACAAGAATGACATACTACAGCTCCATAATATGAATACTGAGCAGCACCACCACACACTTTACATACACGTGGACCGGTTATTTGTTCTTGTGTAGTCGTCAAATTTGCACCTGATGCAGTAGTTGAATCAGTCAAAATTTCTGGGTCTGTTTCATCCATTAACAATAATTAATAAAAGCAAATGTTTCCAATAATAAATAGAAATCAAACTTTTATAGTGCAATTCTAATACATAACTAAATTCTAGAAGAGAATATGAAAAAGGAAAAAAAATCCTCTTTCTTCTTTATAACGAAGAGAGATATATACAGAAAATGCACTGTTATAATAATCAACGCGTGCGCGCTAGTCAGAGGGCAAAAAAACAATTTTTTTCTTTTCTGAAGAATAGGGGAATATAATATAATTTGACCTGGATAACTTCTTTTTTGTACTGTAACGAGAAAATTTTTATATTTTCTTTAAATTTCACAAATATTCTATACATTTTAATCCATATAAAAACGATAAAAAAAATGAAATCCTGTGTACTTTATTTTATCGATGAATTTTTTTGATTATGATACGAGAAACAATAAAGTATAAAAACCATCATGATTCAATTCTTTTTTGCTTAGGTGTCATGGGGTGCAACTATTTGTATATAAACTCATCGGCAGACATTAATGCAGAACGACATGACAAACAATATAAAATTACGTCACTTCTCACTCTATATAATACGTTTTTAATATAAACATCAGAGTTTAACGATAATAACTATTATATATTAAAAAATGAATTATATTAATTAATTTCTAACTTAAAAAAAAGATTGTACCCGTTTTTTTGTTATTTTCTATAGTTGAAATGTAAAATACATCGAAGTTTTAATCTTATTATTTATTTATATTCCTCCAGATTTTGAATTAGTATAATAACTAAGCAACACATTTTTTGTTTACAATAGAAAAAAATCAAATAAATTACACGAAATGTTTGTCTATTCAAATTATGAAAAAATTCATTTGTATTTACGGTGGTAGCTAACAGAATTATTAGTTATTTCTATATCAGCCTTAATTTTGACTTCAGTTCAAAAAAAAGTCTTTGAAAATCTATTTGTATTATAGTTAAAAATTATTTTAACTATAACTCTGTTTTTTATTCTGATCTTGGTTATAATAATAGGATTCTCTTTTATTTGACTATCGTTGGTATTCGTCAAGATTCTTAAGTCTGATATAATATACGGTTATAGAAATGTTACTTTTCTTTTCATTACTTAATCCTAATAATAATGCTAAGTATCATCAATAAATAATTGTTCACGTTTGTAAATGAACTCAACTTAATTCTAATAATAGTTTCTTTTATTAATGTATATTAAACATGAATGAACATTGAAATGTGAAATTATACGAGTAAAAAGTAATATAATCTACTCAGTTATAAAAGTCTTTCAATCTTAATCAATAATAAATATATGTAAAATAGTATATAAGATATCAAATAAGAATATTTCATAACTTTGTTCTAAATATTAAATTGTTTCATTACTACTGAATTAAAATTATCAAAATTTTTTTTATTTAATCTTAAGATTTTTACAGTACTAGTATATGTAGTGTCTTTATGCTACATAGATATGTCGATAATATATAATATAATATACCATATCCAATTGGTTATTCAAATATTTTCAACGACTGTATGTCGAGAAATATCGTCTAGTAAGCAATAAGATATTTATTCGTTCTTTCTTATGCTATTGCTCAAACAAGGACAGAAAAAAAAATGTAAATGTGCTGAAGCATGACTGATGTAACGCTACTAATATATTGCAGATATGTTCGAGTGTTGCGGTACGTGTTTTATTTTTGTTTCAATTGAAATAACTCTTAGTTCTATCACTTAAAGAATATAATAACAACCAATGTATTTTAACAGTTTTATAACATATTTTAAATTATAATTTTTGATTACATAATTTAGTAATTATTTCTATGATATTGATTTTTACTCAACATATATTTATTTGACCTTCGTGTTTAAAAACTATTTCTACTAGTATCTTTGTTTAGGCGTTCATTTTATTTTTTTTGTATACTTTTCGAAAAATCAATAAGATTTTTGACTTATCTTCATATCCGATTGTAAGTATAAATATTTATTTATTCTTATTATTTCCTTATATGAAGCAATACGAATAGAGAAAATATTTAGTTCTATAAAATAAATTATTCCATTTTTTTAAGATCATCCACACAATTTTGATAAATATATTATACCTTGGTGTTAGAAATATTTAATTAAGGTTAAAAAAAAAGACGTCTATTTTGAAAATAACTACTTCTGATCAAGAAAATAAAAAAACTAATCTATACTAAAACAATTATAACTATTTCAAGTACAGAAGTATATTTATCTATTATATAGATTTTATTCTAAAGATTGTAATATAGATATAGATTATCTATTTTAATGGAATCAAATGCGGCTCGTTTCTTACCGTGGGTCTATTGCAGAAAACAGACGTCATGGACTGTTTTATTATTTCTGATGTTTTCAATCGTCCTGGCTTTATTTTATTATGTTGATTTTTCTTCCAATTTTCAAATACTTACGACATTATTTTCTTTTCAAGGCTTAAATTCTGCAGTAGCAGGTATAATCCAATCCGATACTACCACTACAATAGAAACAACAACAACAACAGAAACAACAACAACGACAACAACAACTACTACTACCACTACTACAACTACAACTCCTTTTGAGATTATAGTGGACATGGCTGATCGAGAGCCTGTCTATAAACTTGCTACTCGAAATGGTACCAGACCTTTCTTTGCTGGCGCACGAACAAAACTACTTGATATTCTTGCACTCGATAATCAATGTCAACAAGATTCATCAACTATTGTTGTCGATGTTGGTACTAATCTAGGTAAACTAATTCTTAAAAATATGATTTCCGATAATTTTTTATCTACGTATAGTTTTTAGTAGCAGTTTTTCTTACTATTAAAGAAAAAATTATTTTTTCTAGTTAAGATACAATATATGTAAATGACTTTCTTAAGAGTTTAGGATATTTTAGAAAAAATATTTGTATATATCTTTTGCATGTTTAGGAGAATTTGGCCTTTATGCTGCAGCATGTGAATGTAATGTTTATATGTTTGATATGCAGCCAGTTTTAGTTGCTCTTATTAATATTTCAATTCAAGTAAACAAATTTTCACCAGATTCTGTCCATCTCTATCATAATGCAGTTAGTGATGAAATATCAAATACTACTTTTGAAGTTACAGAACCTTATGATCTAACGCCAAATTCAACACATCCAATAGAAGTTCAAACAATTCGTCTTGATGATGTATCATGGCCATCGTCAATATTTTTATTAAAAATTGATTTTGATGATGCTGAAATAGATGTACTTCGCTCAGCAAAAACGCTTTTTGAAGAGAAACGTATTCGTTATTTAATTCTTAAATATGATACAGTGGTAAATGAAGAATCTGTAAAACAAGCATTAATAGACCATTTAAGAACAGTTTTAAGACCAAAGCTCGTTTATATATTTCATCTAGTTGAAAAACAATTATATGGACCTTTAAATAATCGTCATCTGGAAGAATTACCAAGTAAAAAAGACAAAAATCTAAAGGTCATTGGTCTCTTTGCTATGTTTGATCGAAAAATAAGCAGAGCAACAATTGGAGCAAAGCCATATGATCCAGCTACATTTTTTGAATAAAATTTTCTTATTAATTTCTTTTTTTAGGACATTAATCATAATATTAAAACATTATTTATTGTTTAGTTTAAGTTTAAATCAAAATAAAATTTAATTCATTTTCAAAACCAATAGCATCCGTTTTTAATAGTGTGGGTGTATCATAATCATGACCATACTCATCCTCAATCAGAGAATCGTTTAGTTTATTGCTAAGATCTTTCTCTCTCTCCATATATATGTGTGTATTTTGCCACTGATTCAAAGGAATCTTTTGTAAAAAATTTATTGAAGGCATCAGTTGGTTTCATGATCTTGATAAAATTAGCGGTTGTTCATCGTGTCACTTACTTGGAAGAGAAAACTGTGTCTTGAGCCATTTTTTGACTTCAGTTCTGTACAAATTCTTCTTGAAGACTATAACCGTTTTTGTCATCAAAATCGTTTTATGCAACAAGCAAGAAGTTACTTGTACTGCCTTCTTGATCAGAATTCGTTTAGTTCTGTTTTTTTCAATCAATTTTATTGTGAAAATGAATCTTAAAGGCGTTGGTGGATCAAAGATCAATGTGCACATTCACATCCTTAAACGTTAATTCTAATAGAATATAAGAGTTATATTATTTTATTATCAAAGTAAGAATAATTATATGTTTTTAGGCTTATTATAATTTATTATAGTATTTCTAGAGTAGTAATAAAATAAAATAGGAAATAGAAATCAGATATATCCTAAATTATGATTTTTGTAATTTATATTTGATAAATGGTACATCTTCAACATCATTTCCTTCAAGATCTTCACACATAAAATCAAGAACTAATGAGTGAACATGTGATGGAATTTTTGATTTAGTCACCGTTTCGTATAATTCCGAAACCCTTCAAAAGAAATAAAAAATCAAATTTATATTAGCATTTATAATAATCAATTCTTACTTTCGTTTCAAATCTTGTGCTCTATTTGGTTGTCGCAATAAATGCGGAGCATAAAGAAGAGATAGACCCGATGAAAGCATGGTCACTACTAATTTATGTTCTTTCTAAAAATCCAAAATCAATAAATATTTCAAAAAAACAAACAATTATAACTTACTTTAAAATATTCAATCAATTCTTCTAATGTCATATCACCTTGAACTTCAAATCGATCCCATAATGTAAAAGTTTGATCAAGATACTACAATGTAAAACGATAAACTGTTAAAAATGAAAATAGTTCTTTCTTTTCACTACCTTTTGTTGTATAGGTGGTACTGGTTCCGAAAATGCAAAAAATGGTAAAGCCAAATTAACAAAAGCATTTTTAAATGATTCAATTTTCTTTTGATTTTGTATAAATTTATAAACTTCAAGACAAACAAGACCAGTAACCATTGCTGTTGTTGTTGCAATAGCTGGAATAATATTTCCTGCAATTCGTTTTATTTTACTTCTATCAGCTGTTTCAATTTCATAATTTTCAGCTCGTAAATTTGCAGTTGCTGCTATATAATCCATATGAAAATTTGAATCATCATCTTTTTCAAATTCATGTGCACGAACTTTTATTCCACGAACATCATCGATATTAGGTAAACGATTTAAAATTTCATTTGGATCAATACTATTATCAACGGAATTACGACGTTGAGTTTTTTCCATATCAGCTTTTAATTCTTCATCATTTTCATGAATTTTAATACCAACTTTTGGTTGAAATTCAGGTACTTGAATTTGTGAAACTTCTTGAGCAATATAATCACGATCTCGTGTTTGTGAAATATGATATATATGTGCAAGAAGATTAGATGCAGCAACAATAAAATCTAAATGCATAGGATTTGTTACATCAAATTTAAGTACATGTGGACATCGTTTATTTCCACTCCAAAAACGTTCACCATTTGCTGTGATTTGATCACGTGGACAACTATGAAGTAATTGTGCAATTGTATTATAAAATTGTTGTTGAAAAAGACTTCGAGACTAAACGATAAATTTTATTTTATAGAAAGAAATAAAAACGTTAATTTAAACTAACCCATTTAATACAATCATTAAAATTTTTTGGACGTTCATCACTAAGTGTACGTTTAATATTCTCAATGATTTCATTTCTATCATATTCAGAAAGACTTTTTGATGTTCGATCAGCTAATTTTTTTGGATCACGTAAATATTCTTCTGTTTGTTGTACTGGAATTGTAAATAAACCAGCAAAATTATCTCGTGCCCATTGAATTGTATGTTCAATTAAATTAGGAAAATTATGTAAAAGACACATAGGTATTGCTGCATCTGGTGGATCACGTGTTGATGAATAAGATTCACTAAGTAATGGTACAACAACTTGAACACTTGCTTTTGTACCTAATGTACCACTATCAACTAATGGTTTTTTATAATAAACACAACGTTGATCAATATATACACCTATTAAAGACAAAAAATCAAAATTTCAATTAATTATTTGTCTATTTAACTTACGAGCTTTAATATTATCGAGTGCATTAACAACTCCAGTGAGTTTTTCAAAGAAAATATCATCATAAATATGTTCGGTTTCTGGTAAAACACCTTCAACAAATGCAGTAATATTTATTGATGGATTCATTTGTCTAACTGCTTCAGCAGCAACTTTTGATTTCATTTGCTATAAAAAAAACAAACAAATTAAATTTCGATTAAATTTTCACATAAATCTTACACCAATATTTTGTGGACGAAAAAGAAATTGTCGATTTAAATTTGATTTTTCAATTGAATCCATATCAGTTACATAAATACCACCTTCTGGATCACATCCAATACCCATCATAGCAAAATTTTTTAACATTTCACATCCGATTGCACCAGAACCAACCTTTATTTATGAATAGAAATTTTTCTAAATTAATTTTTCATCAAATTTTTTCTTACCACAAAATATTTTGATTTACATATTTTTTGTTGAAAATCTTCACCAAAAACAACTTCTTGAGAATAATATCGAGATTTTTTTGTTGGTAATTTTGGTGCAAATGTCATTTCTTCTGATGCTTGATACACATTCTCGGGTAAACATTCAATAGCATCAAAATATAGAAATTGTTTTATTGGCATAAATTTTCCAGTTACAGCCTGAGAGAGAAAGAGAAAAATAGAAATTGTTGAATGAATCAAACTTCTATACCTTCATTGCTTCTTGAGCAGCAATACCACCAATAACAGCTTGCATTGGACATAAATCACCGGTACATGTTTTTGAAAATAATTTGATCCAATGTTTATTTAATTCATCTGTAAATGGTTTTTCACGATTCTGTGAATTAAGTTGTTCAACGAGTTCATAAAATTTATCTGCATCAGCCTAAATGTTTATAGAAGAATAGAAATAAAAGATTAATTGAATATATTGAAATATACTTCATCCCATGGTTTTGGTGAAGCATCGTATTGTGTTTCGAATTGAAATAAAGCTTGAAATGCTAGATGAAGATTTGATGGCATAGACATTTTAGCAAAATCACACATTAACATTTCTGGTTCAATTAATGATTCAGAAAAAGATTTCTATAAAACAAATTTTACATTTCTTCAAAATTAATCATCTTATAACTTACAAATGTAATTGTTTGTGGTTTTTTTACTTCAGTTACACTTCCACCACCTTCATAAATTCCAAAATTTCGTGTATCACCAATAGTAAATGTAAATGGACCTTAAATAATATATATAAACTCATTTGAATAAACTTTTTTTTTGAATATTTACTTGGTACAGTTATTTGAAATTCTTTACCATTGACTTCAGTCATTCCTTTAACACCCTGAAATGTAACGAATGTACCATCTTCAAAACCATGTCGCGTTTCAGTTGCCATAAAAACAACACCATACTCATCCTATAGAATATTGAATATAGAAATAATATTGAACAATAGAAATATGTATACTAACATGACTAATTTCTGTTACAATTTGTGTTAAAGGATTTTCTCCATTTGTATCAAGTACTTCGAAATTTTTACCAAAATCACAAAAAATTTGTCTAATTAAAATAAAAAATCATATTTTTTCAATTAGCAGAAAAAAATAAATAACTTACCCAAATAAACCTTTTGTATTTGCATTAATATATTTAATTCCATGTTTATGACATAAATCACCAAATTTGATTTGTTCATCAAGTTTTGTATTAGTTAAAACAAATACCTATTTTATTATTCATTGTAAATCAATAGAAGATTTTTGTATGAAAACTTACATTAGTTTTAGCTTTTGATAAAAACTTTTCATCAATAATTTCGGTCGAATGAGTAACAGTAACATAACTATTCAATTCAGCTAATTTTTGAAGAGCAATTTCAGCACGATTCTGACCAATGTCAGATTCTTGAAAATAATACTAAAAAATAAAATTTAATAGAAGTTTGTTTCTTTTCTTCTTTGTATTACTTGTGATGAAAGATCTGTATAATCAACTTTTTCATTATCATGAACAATAACTGATTTAGCACCACCCAAAATAATATTTTTAGCAATTTCAACACCGAGTCCACCCATGCCTGAGATAAGAACATGTGCATGACCTAATCGATGCATTGCTTCTTTTCCCATCACATAACTAAATGTGAATAATTATGAATTCATTTTTAATGAAATTGAAATAAATAACTTACAGTTGTCGAGAATAAAGATTTTCATCGATTTCAGGTGTTTGTAATGATGTTTGATGTTGAAGAGTAGTAGACATCTTATTTAATGAATTGTGTTTTTAATATTCTATAAAACAGAGTAAAAAATTTATTTTATATACGTATATATATATATATGTTGTAGTCAAAGTTCAAATTTGAAATTTGCCTAGTCCAAATTGAAATTTCAATTCTGCCTAGTCAAAAATAAAATTGCAATTTCGACTAGGCAAATTTGAATTTTGACTACCACATATATATACATGTTTTGATCGAAATAATCTTAAACGTGTCAGTAAAAATATGAAAAATACATGACTATATATTATTCATGTACAGCCATCTTGTTAATTGCTGAATGCTGAGGCAATTACATGAGAAAAGAATAAAGAGGCTTGTCTGCCTATTAAAAAATACCCAAAAAAAGGAATGTAAGTAAAAGCATATAAGCAAATATTTCTTTTACTTTTCGTATGAATCACAAGGAAGAGAACAAGACAAACATAGTCAAATAAACTCGTGTTACATTGTTGTTCTTTTTTTTTCCAGCGTCGAACGGGGACTCATATATTTTTCTACTTTAATCTATTCATTTTTATATCTACCAACTATTATACACTCTTAAAAAAAATACGAATTTTATATACAATAATAATAGAAAGATGCAATTTCTATCGATTGTGCAAGAACAGTTAGTAAAACAAGCAATTATTTTCTACTTGTAAATCAAACTAGAATGATATTATTCTCATAAAATTGATAAATATTTTTTTAACATATTGTTTAGTATGGTAATTTTAAAAAATATATCGTTAAAAATATGGTATCTACATACGTATCGTAAATGTGTTTATTTTTCTTATCTCGTTTTATGTATGACTATATTAAAATAAGAATATATTACTTCTCTCGAATGACGTATGTGTTTTGGTAATGATAGTAGTGATAATAATGGTAAAGAAAAACAAACAAAACTGCAAAGAATAATATAATCATACTTGATAGAATAGAAACTTTTAAACTTAAATAAATTTATAATTGGTTTGATCTATCTATTTCTAATGTGTCTTCTTACTAGTTTAAAATAATATCGAATACAAAAAAGCTGCAGTTGCATCTATGCATGTCTCTTGATCTTTTTAATATACCATCATTAAACATATGAAAGATCAAGTTTTGTAATTTTGATCTATGTGTGTAATGTAAATAATCTAAAGAAAAGATTTGTTCAGTTATAACTGATAAAGAAATATACAAGCAGAAAATATGTAAAATAAAAAAACTATACTAATGTTATATTACAAGTGAGTCATTATTTTTGTATTGAGGACGAGATATTGAGTTAAATCGAATTGGAAAAAGGTATTCGTTTTACGTTTTTTTTTCCTGTTTCGAGTGTAAAAATAGGCTCTTCGTCATAATTCTATCAACCTCATCTATTCCAATTCATCAGGCATGCCAGGTAATTTGAAAGCTTCAAATAAACATTCACTTGGCGTAGCAAAACCAATAGATTTCCTAGTGGCATAGTTCACTTCACTTCCTCGAATAATTCCAACGACACTCTTTGTTTCTTCATTCACGATTGGTCCACCACTCGATCCATTTGAAGGTGGATGTGAATACATCATAGCACTCAATTCATCATATGTACCGGTTGCTGCTTCTTGGCCGTATGGACCTTTATAAAATAAGACTTCTGCTGGTTTCCATGAATATGAAATAGTAGGACGAGAAGTTGAGGTGAGAGATGCTGTTACAAAGTTATATGATAGTAGTGACGTAGATTTTGGTGCAGGATATGGATCGACTGCTAAGGATGGAATTTGTCGTCCTCCTTGTAACCTAAGTAAAACTATATCTGATCGAACTAAATGTGATTCAACTGTTGCAACTGGAATCAGTTCTCCTTCATCAGTTATTACTATTGATTGTGACTTCTGATCAAGTTCTGAACAGGAGAGATGTCGAGCAGCTTGATAAAATGTATGTGCACATGTAACAATAAGTCCTCCATCTAGTACTGCAAAACCACTTGCTACAATCACTTCATTTTTTAACGGTATGAGATGAGCGATGGTAACAACTGCTCGAGTGAAATCATATTTAGTAGTAACATTCTTACGTCCAGTATTTTCATATGGAAGAATATATGGTAATTGTACATTTGCATTAGAATTGAGTTGTTCAAGAAGAGTCGTGAAAGATGTTGTTGCTTTTATTGATTGACTCTTTAGTACATAGTCAATTAGAAACGTATTTAACAAATTTTGTTTAGGCGTTTCTAATTCTGGAGTTGATAGAGTACACTTGGAGTGATTTCTTGAAATAAACAGAGTGCAGGAGTTGATTTTTGAAATCAAGCTAGAAGTTGACCGCGATAATAGTTTGATTGAGAACATATTTATAAGATGATTTTATCTGCAATTAAGAAGATATTTGATTGACTAATCAATCTCACAAAAAAGGTATTGGAAATAAATCTGTTTCAGTCTAAAATGAAATCATCTTACAATTTCTCGACGTTATAAAACGAACAATAGCGTGTTCTATTAAACTTGCCTTTGTTACTAACTTAATGATACTTTTTCAATATCGTTTTATCATTCACTAGTGTCTTTAAGTACATCTGCAAAATAATATTTTTTCTTTTCTCTATCTTTGTCACATTGCATTTATTATTTTTCTACAACTTTAACACACATTAGTTTTCTTGATTAAATAATTTTCACTATTTACTACCATTAATCAATTAGTTTTAAAAATCATTCTATATTTTGCTAATAATGACATAATGTTGTAAGTAAAAATAATTATTTCTATCATTTGTCGAGTAATTGTAATAAAAACTAATCATAACGCAGTATACTACTCTTGATCTCGATTTCACATATGAATCACAAGCAAACGAAATAGGAAAAAAGAGAATGGTCATCGAGCTGGCTTATGATAAAGAAGCGAATGTGCTGCTGTCTGCTGGCGACAAAATATACTAAAGATGTCTTTATTGTTAATAGTGATGATCTCTATCTTTACGTTTCGTTAATATATTGCTTATGTATTAATCAATTTTATTTACTATTACTTTGGTAGAGCAAAACAAGATGCATTGATCGAAATCGTATCGAATGCTAAATACATATCACGGCCTAATATTGTTGAAGTGTTTGGAATATTGATTAATACTAATTCATAAAGTAAAGCTAAAATAACACTCCTATTCAATAAATCTAAACACCAGAGATCACTATCAATCATGGCCTGAGAGTCTATTAGAATTTTAAAAAACAATTGTTTAGGCTGGGTAAATAGAAGTTGTAATATGAATATTTACGTGTTTGGATTGATATTCTTTCATTAGACTGCTGCTTGTTGAATTCTTACTCTATGACTAGCAGTTTTTTATAAAATGAAACCGCTTCTTCACGGATCAGTTCTACTATCCACCCCTACTTGTACCAGTTATGGAGTTCTACAATACATATTGACTCATTATGATCTTAAAGATCATTTTAGTTGTAGGTAAGGATACATCTTTTGGTATCTCACCTACATCCTATCTTTGACGCTTTTATACACTCTATTATATAGTCTCATATGCCATTTTTATTTAAGAAAAAAAAATATTATAACTAGTATGAGATGTATTCTTGTTAGTTCACTACATTAAATAAAATATTAATTGAAAGTCATAAAAAATGTTTTTGAAAGTTCTGTTTGTCTATTCTATTTTTTGTCACAGTTACAAACATGAACAGAAGAAGAAGAATGACCTAGATGACAACCATTACCAACACGTTTCCAATTGTTGCCATCACGCTTCCAATCACTACAGCCAGCACATGTACGACAAAAATGACCACCACAATAACAACGAATATCAGCTTTTTTGTATTCTAAATTAAAAATTCAAATCGTTGCAGTATAGTTCAGTTATATATTTTGCTTTATCATTTTCCATATGATTTGCTGACACGCATCAAATACTTAACAGTTAGAAAATACTAGCTAATATTAACAAAATTTTTCTTAACACTGCTATTATACTTAAGAGGACAGTATGCTTCAGATTATAGCAGAAAACAATAATCATATATGTTGTTCGTATTCAGTCATTGTTTATAACCACTTATCATATCATTTATTAACATTGTTAAAGATAATGGTAAATCTGCAATTGCGGTATTCAATAGCTATTTACAGCTGTCTTCTATATAGTGTTTATAAAATTTTGTAAGTAAGTATTTATGATGACAATAAATCAGCATTATAAACTGTTGTATTATCTTAGGTATAATGGTTAAATATAGTTATTTAGTTCTTTCATATAACTCTAAGAGCAAAGATGTTATTGCGGTAAATGAGTCTGCGAATTTATATACAGAATTTATTAAAGAGGAAACCGAGTTCTTAATATTGCAAATATAATTTTTATAGAAAATCATCTTCAAAAACAAAGAAAACTAAAATATTGCGCGTTTAGTGTATTTCTCACAGTTGCATCAAGTAAATAAGTAACATGTTTTTTGATTATACCCTTACTCCGTACGTGTTTTATAAATAGAACTTGAAAACGACAGTATTCCTCTTTCAACTTGATGAGAAACTAAATTTGATATATAGAATTTTTTCTTGTTTTTCTCAAGCTATATATTGTTTCTTAATTAGTGTAAGAAATATGTGTAATAGATTGCAAAAGAAAGGAAAGAATAGAAGAAATCAAATCAATAAAAATACTACAAAGCCGATAACCTCTTGCATCAATTAAGAAAATTAAAAATGAATTACATTATATCTCGTCTCGAAGGAACATCAATAGTTATCGAAATTTTCGACTTACTTTCAAGTGTTTCGATCAGATCTTGAATTTTTCCATCTGATCCTTGCTTGCAACTTTGAACACTTTGCTCAATTTGATTAATTCTTTCGTTTGTTGGTTTGTTATTTGGTTCAAATTTTTCTTGAAATTCATAATTTTTTACGATTATTTGTTTAACTTGCTCTTCGGCCAATTGCTTGTACGCTTCATACTCTTCTCGAAGTTGTTGATGAATGCTTGATAAATGTTGAATTTGTTGGCTTGTTGCATTTTTATTAGTTTCAAATTGATTTCGTAGTTGTCGAAACTGTTCTTTAAGACACTTAAATTCCGTATGTAATAGATCAGTATCGCGTCTCTTGAAATTCATATTACATTCAGAGCATGTCAAATCGAATAAATCACACTTATTTTCGTGATCAACCAAATCTTTTTTTGGTAATACTGTTTCACAGCCACGACATGATTGCTGTTGATAACCACATTCCGCTTCGTGTGCTTCTAATGCTTCATAAGCAATGATCTATAACAAGAAAATTAATCAGCATATATATATATATATATATATTAATTTCCTTTTTGACTATATGTTTACCTCTGTACATCCATGTTGATGGTTAGCACATGCGATATTTAGTCTGCCTAGCTGTTGTAAAATAAATCGAGGACATTTGCTTTCGACAAACTCTTCGCATCCGTTTACACATTGTTTTGACTGTTCATCAGATCGATCCGCAATACAAGCCGAGCAAAAGGGTGTTGAGCAATTCTTACAAACAACCGGCTTCCAAAGAATTTTCTTACATAGTGCACAGGCAAAATCTTCCAATTTTAAATCATATGAACCATTAATACGATTGCGTTCAATGCCATGTTCATCGTGATCTTCCGTCATCTAGAAGAATAATCTGAAGGAATAAAAAGATAGAATGACTTTCAACATTCCAAATTTGCTTTTCGTAAATCGAATCAAACACTTCGATACAATAAGTCTACCTTGCTTACTAGAATTTTTTCTTGTTCTTATGCGATACTGTAATAACTAAAACTTGAATTTAATTGTTGAAGTTAAGTGTATATAAAAATGTATATGAGTCGCGACTGTTTGAGTAAAAGCGAAAGTAATACTAGACCATGACACAGATATAAATTCTATTAGTACCATCTTTGTAATATTAATATGTGAATCTATACTTTTCTCATGCTCTGTGGTAATCTATAATAATGCAGCTATCAACTTGGAGTATTGTGTGTACATAAATTTGGCACTTTGTAATAACAATGTGTACTTATTCGATTTTCTATTTAAACGATGTAGTAGTCTAATAAAAATTCTTTGTTCTATTGTAATTTTCTTCTAACAAAAAATTCTTTTGTATAGTATATCATAAAACATACAGCAGTAAGTTTCTGTGTATTTTTCTATTTTTTAAAATTTTGTTTCAAACTTCAATACTCTTATAATGTATATAACACAATTGCTGTTAGTTCTTGCTATGAAAAACTATTCACTTCTAGTAATATTATCTATTTTAAACAGATTGTACAAAGGTCATAACTGAATATATTTACAACTTCCAACAAAAAATTTTGTTTTTTACATTGTTTTATACTTCCATACCTTTCAATAAATTGATTACTGAATAGAAAAATATGATACAAGAGTTTTATTACAGTACAATTGATACATCAGAATGAAATAAAACTTTTATATATTACATTTCTTCTTAATAATAAATTTAATGTATAGTTTGATAATATGAAAATATAAAGAAAAGTAAGACGTATGTTTTCATGTGTATACGTCTTACTATTTCAAGATAATTAATTTTTAAGGAAGAGCTAAACAAGCGATATTAGTTATTATAAAATCTAAAGTTTGGATATGTTTGATATCTATTTGAAACTCCAAGTACTATGTAGTTATTCATCACTTACATTGAATTCACGAATGTTTTGTATGATTCTTGATAAAAGTTTTTATGATGTTTTTTATACTTACCTTTGATGAAAACAGTCAAGAAATGAATGTGCTGTTGTATTTATTTTTATTGACTGAAAAAAAGAATAAGCGTTATCGTAGATATTTGTCTGTCCAAAGCAAATCAATAAAAGAAATAATGTATATGTCGTCTCTTGTATTTTAATAGTGATATACAGAACACAATGTTTCCTTAGTTATTATCAAGGTACTTCATTTTTTTAACAGATCAAACACTATATAGGCAACCATATTAAGATATTTCGCAACAATTCCAATATAGAAGAAATTCTAAGGAAATATTTAAATCCACTGATATTCTCAAAATGGTTTCAAATAAAGAGAAAAGGTTACTTAGAATTCCTTCGAATGTAAAAAGTTTCTGCAATACTTGTCAGCTCGATCAATGTAATATAATCGACGTTTACGAAACGAAATCTCGACTCATAATAATTCGTAGAGCAATAGATGATATCAGCATACTATTATTCTATCAATTATGCAGTTTATTTAGAATAAACATTATTTGATAGAAAAAATGATTTGTAAAAAAAATTCATAGCCAATGCCAACTAATACGGATTCGTCCAGCTGCAGTACTTCCTATTTTAGCAAAAGCCGCTTCATTAAGATCAATATCACCCTGAAAAATAAAAATCTTTAATTATACAATTCTTTCTTTTTTTCTAACTACATACAGTTTTGCATCCGGGACAACGATCAACAATAGCAACGTCAACAGTACCAGAAGGACCCTGAACTCGCATTCGTTTACCACAAAGACTATTTTTATTTGGATTGCCATATGGTGTATGTGGATCGAATTGATGAGCATTTAGAGCGGCAACCATATCAAAACGCGAATGAAGTGTACCACAAGCAGTATAACCCACAGCGACTAATAGATAGTGTACATGCATAATAATTAAGATATAACAAAAACGTGCTTACCATCGTAGTGTGTTCCTTCTCCATGAAATATAGTCGAACTACCTCCTCCACCTGATCCTCCTCCGGAACATGGTCCACCCTGACAGTTCTCTCCACAATATTCATTTCCGACTCCACAATAACCCCATTGAGATAAACACATGTTTGATTCCGGACAAACAGCTCGTGGAGCCACTGCTAAATAGTCAGAAGTTTGTCTACATAGACCGAATGAATTCAACAGTAATGTAAAAAGAAGACAAAATGGTATCTTATGAGAGACCATTTTGAGTTTGAAACGTAAGATTCTTTGAAGTTTTTTTCTCTCTCTTAATAATCGATACAAACAGTGCAGCATTACATCAATATCATTTTTAATATAACTAGCATGCGAATTATTGCATCTGTTGATTAAAACTGATTGATTCACCTCGAGCTGTGAAAATAAAGTCAGCTGTATGGAAACTTTGTTTTTATCCTTCGCAAGAGAGTATGTCTGCACTGCCTATACTTCTAATACTGACGAAAATAGCGATTCGTTTTGATAAAATTGCATTTATTTAAATGATTGAAGTCTATCTAAGTACAAATTCATCAGCCGAATTTGTAATATTGTGAGTGTTTGAATGCGAATGATAGTAATGAGTTATTCATATTCATATCAATTCATTGGAATAGAATTACTTTTATCAAATAGAAAGATCTTTATGCGATTACTATACTACTTAGAACAATTTAAAAATAGAAACAATGATGTTGTAATTCTTTATCAAAAACGTTAACAAACTTCTCCACTATATAATCTAATAGAAAAGATACTGTTCTGTTTTTCGATGCTATTTAATGTTGGATTAAGTATTGTTATCGTGTCTTCTTCGATGTCCAATCTTCCATATATACATATATTCTTTAATCTAGATGCAATTGTTATTATTGAAAAGAAACAGATGTTTCTGTTTACTAATATATTTCAAAATGTTTATTAATAACTGAATTTAAAGATAAAAAATCAAGAGATTTGATTAACTCTGTTTCTTGTTACGATATTGATCGGCTGAGTTTTTGAATATATTTAGTTTACTCTTCTTATTTTCTTTATGAAAAATTTCGAATGAATAAAAACAAAAAGAATTGATCCAAAAATCTTTAATATAATATATTATTTTTTGAGTACCAATATTTGATTTATCTACATTATAAAGTTATTTTATTGTAATGTTGACGTAAAAAAGTAATTGCAATACATTTCAGATCAAACTAAACAATTTTATTCATAAAGACAATGCGATATCCTTAGTCAAAACATTCAAGATTAGTTTTATACTAAACTTTTCGATTAATTTTTGAGCTATAGAATACTAGTAGCTAATTAAAATTCTTATCCTATTAGAAAAAAAATTTATAATTTGAAGTCTTAATGTCTTCATCTGGAAATGAAGAAATATGTGTTAATAATTGACAAGCTTCTAATAAGTTCATGCTTTATCTTACATAATGATCTCTGTATGATCAACATATCTGTGTTTACATACTAATATGCCTCTTACGACATCATTTCTCTCCAATAGAACCTTTTTATTCTTCCTCTCTATGATAAGAAGATTAAGCAATGATAAAGGAAATGACGTTCTTCTCCTAATAAAGAATGTGATGTATAACATCGCTATTTTTGTCATTTAAGTTGGACATTATGAATATAAGAGTCATTATTTATCCGAATGCATTCTTTTAGATGACTCAGTGTCTCGTGTCCTCTACGACGCTTTCAATAACGTCTCTTTCAACAGATATTTATCCTCTGATCGCTTCACTTCGTCCTGACTGGTCTCCACACAATACTCATCTACGTCAACTCACTGGTGGTATCAACAACACCGCATTTGGTCTCTTCAATAATTTAGATCAATCAGATGCTCTTGTTATTAAAATATTTGGATTACACACAGAAGTATTTATTGATCGTAATGTGGAACTAAATGCCATATCTATTCTGTCAAAATATGAACTTGCTCAACCTATTCTGCTTCAATTTAATAATGGAATTATTTATAAATTTATTCCAGGTAAAATCTGTTCAAGAGATGATATTAGAGATATAAATATTGCTTCATTTATCGCTCTTCAAATGGCTCAATATCATTCAATCCCTCTTCGAAATCATAAGCAAAAACCTTGTTTGATTCCATTGATACGAAAAATTTTGTCTTTAATAAGCGATAGTAAAAATCCACCAGCAGGTAAATAAATTATCTTTCAAGATGAAAATATAATCTATCATCTTACGTTTCATTATAGAATTCATTTCTCTTTCATCCGATGTCGATTGGATAGAAAAAGATGTATTATCTCAACTTATTCCTGATCCTCAGTATGGTATAGATTTAGTTTTCTGTCATAATGATCTTGCCTGCACAAATATTCTCTACAATTCATTATCTCAATCAGTTTCATTTATTGATTTTGAATATTGTACAGTTAATTATGCTCTATTTGACGTGGCTAATCATTTCGTTGAATATGCAGGTTATGATCAAATCGATTTTGATCGATATCCGAAGAAAGATGAACAGTATCGTTGGTTAAAAATTTATTTTGAAGCACGAAACTTAAAATTTGAAAATCAAGAGAAAATTTACCATTTGATCAATCAATTTGCTGCTTTATCTCATCTTTGTTATGGTCTTTGGGCGCTTGCTCAAGTTAGTTTCGCAAGAGCTGATAGCGATTATGCATCTTATAGTCAACGTCGACTCAATAGATATAGAGAACTAAAAGTAATTTTATTCAACAAATGGTTGCCACAATGAACTCTATACATAATTAACTTATACTCGTTGATTTTTGTGTTTTATTGAATGATAGTATTGTAAATCATATGAATAAATCTGTATCATATATTGTTGTATAGAAAAAAAACAATTGAATAATTTGAATAGAGAAGAAAGATCTTAGTATAGGGGGAATCGATGAAATATATACATATCTATATTTAAGATAAATGTATCGTTCCTTATACATGGTTTGTACTGAATATAAGAGGAACATACATTCGTAATTATTTATGCTCTTAATATAATATAATTTTCAAACGTGTCAAATCATACTTTTTAAATATCTTCCGTATACATCATGTTCAACAGATGGCACTAGCCATCGATTCTATTAATCCTTCATCAATCTGATTTGTGAACAAAGAATATGTATCGATCAATGAGATGTTATTAGTGTATACAAGCTTTATTGCCTTGTCTTCTTTTCAATCAGGATTTCTTCATTTCTAATTGACAAATTATTAAATTATGGCATTCAAATTTGCTTTGGTCGGATCAACTATGGCTCTTGTTGGTTATACAACATATAAATATATGGCAAAACCAAATTCAAGTATTATTTTTCATAATAAAATTCTTTAATTCGTACAAGAAAATTTTAATTTAGCGATTTATACTGAAAAACCTTTCTATGAAGAAGCTCTCGTATTAACTCGTGGTTATAAACCAATAACTGAAAAATTAGTTGAACCAATTCAACCACTTAAAATTGATACATCAAATGAATTCAATAGTCTTTCACTTCTTGGAGCACAAGTATAATTAACATCTATATTTATTCATATCAATATACAGAATTATTTCTTCTAGGTTCAAATTCCAATTCGAGGTAATAAAAGATCGGGAGCTGTTTATTGTTATGCAACACGAGATTCATTGGATGATGAGTAAGACAAAAAAATCTTTTCTATATCTTTCAATGAAATAATTATTATTTTAGTTGGCATGTAGATAAATTAGAATTCAAAGCTAATAATCAACCTAATCGTTATCAATTCTATGATCGATCATTACGACGTGTACCAACACCATCTGAACAAGCATTACTTGACTATAAAAAAGAACTTGAAGAGAAACGAGCAAGAGATTCAATGGTTTTATCTTCTACACCGGCTCCTGTGTAGAAAAAGTTTAGATTTGTTTTTTTTTTTTCATATAAAATAAAAATAAACTCATAAAAATTACTGATAATCTTTCGATAGGAATAAATTCTTTCATGTCCATAAATCAGTTTATTTAGAAGCATAATTCTTTTTTTATTTCATGTAAATTTTTTGTTTTAGATCTAGTAAATCATGGCAGACGATGATTCCATGAGTGATGATGATGATCAACTTAATGTAAGCAAAAAAAGAGAAAATATTTTTTTTCAAAAAACTAATTCATTTTGATGATTTAATAGATTCCAGATAATACGAAACATATTACATCAATTCAATTAGGTGAAGTTGATATTGATTGTTGGTTTCATTCACCATATATTGATACAGAAGATGGTTTACACGACAAAAATCGTACGATTGAAAAACTATTTATTTGTGAATATTGTTTAAGATATTTTCTAAATAATAGAAAATATCGTCAACATATGGTAAATAAAGTGGAAGAGAATGATGCTTTATTTGTAATATGAGAATAAGAACAGAACTTCCCAGGTCAAAATGTCTGACATCAGATCTTGCAATCTGAACGAAATCTTACGAGAATCTGACAAAAAATCGTAGTCTCTGAAATCTTATATCAATTCATACCACATTTTTCTTGAAAGATCTAATGCGCCTGTATTTTCCAGTATAATTTTTAAGTAAGATTTTACGAAGGTATTAGTTTTAATTAAATATTTTGGTAATATTCTACCGTATAACAAAATCTTACAAAAATTTCAAGTACGATTTAGTGCAAGAAATCAGAGACTACGATTTTTTGCCCGATCCTTGTCTGATTCCATCAAATCAGATATGACCAGACATACGATTTCTACAAGATCTTGCTATCTGATTGTTCGACCTCGGTTGAAATGAAATATTCTGCAAAGCAGTTAATATCACATACGACGATGTATAGAATGTTCTTGTTTTTTAGCTAGAAACAGCAATCATTTAGTTTGAAAAATACATTGAATGTATTAATCACTCACGCAAATACGTAAGAAAAGAAGTTCATCATTGCATAGAAAAATATTTTCGGAAAAACAGTATGACAGTGGAAAATTCTTTGGCGTGAAGGGCATATCTACTATCGAGGGATATCGTAGTACTTGGTATACAAAAATTATCAGCTTTCTTGACTAAAACAATTAAAATACATGATGTAATGAAAAATGATCATAGTTAAACGATTGCTAGATAATTCAATATAGTTTTTCATTTAGAAATTATCCTAGATATTGTTGCGAGAGGATGATAAAAGGAATGTTTATCAAATATTTTCAATGACTTCGGAATCTCTATTTCTGTAATTAATCTTTCCTCAGTCTAGACAATATTCTTCAATTCTTTGAAATGAATATATATGATTGCAATAGATTTAAATCGTTTTACATTTGAATTATTAGAATGAATGCAATCGTCGGCATCCTCCTGGTCGCAAAATCTATGAAGATGCGAATGGTTTGTGTGTATACGAAGTAGATGGATGTGCATCTCAAGTAAACTTAAAAGAAAGACATATTTATATTTGAATTTTATTTTCATGATATATTTTAGCTTTATTGTCAATGTTTATGTTTATTAGCAAAGTTATTTCTTGAACGCAAAACAATTTATTTTGATGTAAATCCATTTCTTTTCTATGTTCTTGTTGAATCAGATAAACGAATGAAAAATGTACAGCATATTATTGGATATTTTTCAAAAGTAAACATTTTTCTATAAGAATAATTCATTGAAAAACATCGAATCATTTTATCTTTCTAGGAGAAACTAAGTGATGAATGTTACAATCTCGCTTGTCTAATGGTATTGAATTTATTATAGGAATTATTTTTGATAAATTATTTTTTTCGTAGATATTACCTCATCATCAACGACAAGGTTTCGGTCGATTTTTAATCTCATTAAGTAAGTCTAAATTTTTGAATAAAAAAAGAAAATTTTTTCTTTTCATAATCCCGTTTAGGTTATGAATTAACTAAAATCGAAAAGAAAACCGGTTCACCAGAAAAACCACTATCAGCTCTTGGACAAATGACATATAAAAGTTATTGGCATTCAACAATATTAACAAAACTTGAAGAATATCGCCGTTCACAAATACATGCTACTGTTACACAATTAAGGTTTATTAAAAATATTTATTTTAATATACAAAAACAAATTTATTATTTTATTGTGTTTAGTATTGATACGGGCATCCGTATTGAAGATGTTATTCAAACATTAATTGATCTTCGAATAGCTCATACGGGAGCAGAAAATATTGAAACAAACTATAGACAACAAGAAGCACGCGATCAACGACATAATAATCGTCGTCGCAATCATAAATATGATGATGATAATAATAATACATTGAATTCCACTTCAGTATTAGCTATTGATGAAGATGTTTTACATACAAAACTTGTTTGTTTATTAAATGGAACATCATCATTGAAGCATGATCAAAATATTTTTGATGCGAATTATTTACGTTTTATTAGTCGACGATAAAAAAAAGAAATATGAAAATTTTAAAGAAAAAAGTCATTTGTATATACGAATTAATTCTCTTTGTTAGAAGAGATCGAATAGTTTATTTTTTGTTTTCTGGAATTATGTATATAGAGAAAGAGTAGATTGTAAAATGAATCTCGATGTTAAATTTATATTTAATATTGATGGTAATAAAGTTATTCATTAGTATTACAGAAAAATCCTCATAGTTTATTTTAACAAAAGTAATTCTACCAATATCTCTTTTTATTATGTTTATAAAGCATTTATTATGATGAACATCTCTATTAGCAATATATAAGAATGCCGTGGTTTTGATAATGCTATATGACTATTATGATCATAGCAAATTGTTTACGTCTGTAAGATTATATTGCGCTCTAGCCGATTTTGAGGTAGTCGATACAATGGTATTTGAACGATGTATCAGAGATCATACCTATTATTGCAGAGGTAAACTCCTTATTATGTTATATATAAAGATAATATTTGTTTTTTAGAAAAGTCTTGTAGCGTATTTCAAACATTTTCAATACAATAGGTATTTATCATATCATTGGTTATGGGTTATGCACCAGATATTTACGTAAAGATTGGTGTGGGTGTGAATGTCATCTAATTATAGCATCTACATTTTCACGCTCATCCACATCCTAGTTAAGATTAGAAGAACTCGATGATCTAAATGATGATGTTGTACATAGTTCTTATTTTTCAATTTATATTATATCTGAGATTTCTTTAACAATTAATTTATTTTATTTTAACAATAAATAAAAAGATAATAATAATAATTAACTCTCTAAATTTCTTTATATAGTGATTAAATAACACATTCATATATCGAAAATAATTCACATAATTATAAATCATAATCAATATATGCATTTTCTTTGCTTATGCATGTGAATGTTCTAAAATTTGAGCTCTCATTCCATCATTATCAACTTCACATATACTAAATTTTCCTCGTTTATATGTCTCTCGAGATCTATGAACATACATAAGAATAGCATCACAAACAATTCCAGCAATAACCATAAAACCAATACCCGAACCTAAATTTAGAAAAAAAGATTGAAATTTTATCGAAAACTTTCAATAAATTATTCATACCAATTGCTAAAAATAAATTGACAATATTAAATTGACCACCTTTGCCTGTAATAGAAACAACAAAACGTAAACCATAAACTTTTGTTAATGTTCGATAATC